GTGACAGGAAGAGGAAACAGAGCCAGGGTGGAGCCCACGTCCCGCTGATGCCAACCCAAGCCCTCCAGCCACCACCCTGACTTCCTAAGCTCAGGGCCCATGTTGGGCATGATGAGGTTGGCAGGTACTTGCTGCCATGTGGGGACCCTGACTATTGTCCCCTCCTCTTTAACCACCCAGCTCGGACCACACCCAAGAAGCTGACTGTCTCAGGCCACCGTCCCTGTCTAGTGGGGCTTCGGGACAGGCCACAGGCTGCTGTCTGCTGGCAGAGTTTGGCACCTCGGCTAGGGAATCCTCTCACCAGCCTGGGCCTTGGCAAGATGGTGCAGATGCCATCATTTCTAAGCGTCTCTGGACACAGTGTGGTATGGGGAAGCACAGGGCCCTGGATGCGCTGTCGAGGTCCCGCTCCAGCTCTGTGTGCTCTGTGGCCTCAGGTGATGTCTTCACCAGCCCAAGTCTGTTTCTTCAGCTGTAAAATGGGTTTCAAAGCAGAACTCATCTCCGTGGGCCATCAAAGGACAAACTGAGCCTTGAGGGACTCAGCACAGTCTCTGGCAGGTAGTGGTGCCCACAGATGTTTAGCACTGGTGGTGGTGCTGGGGTAATTGCTCCAGACAGGGTGAGATGGTCCCACCCTGCCATTTCCTGTGGCCAGCCTGGCACAAGACTGCAAGGGGCCCTCATGAGCTGTGGTGGATATGGCTTGGGACAGGAGCTTTACCTGAGGAGGGCAGCTCCTCTGTCCCCAGAACCCCAGAGCTATTCACTGTGGGGAGGGCATGTTGTCCTCTTTGAGGTCACCTCTAGCACTAGCCTGGCCCTCTGTGCCCACCTGGGTCAAAGCTGGCTCATTATGGAGCCCCAGCCGGCCTCAAACTCATGGTGATCTTCCTGACTCAGCTTCCCAGGTGCTGGGGTTACAGTCATGTGCTACCACAGCAACCCAGGCAGGGCTCGGAAATCCTGTGTGTTTCCCAACACGACAGCTGCCAGGTCCCACCCCTGACCACATGAACTCCTAGGGTTTGGGGTCCCAGCCTTCTACCCCTCAATATCTGCTTCCCCAACTGTCACAAAATGGGCAGGGCCATTGACTCCCGAGTCAGAGGGTTCAGGACACAGAGCTGAGTTGGTCACTGTCACTGGCAGTGTGAGCAGGGTGGGTACACCACCTCTGAGCCCCTGGTCCTGCTTGGGCTTGGGGAGATGGAATCAATTAGCAGCAGGCACATTGGTGCTTTCTTAACCCTTTTGGATCCTGGCTTCCATTCACTCAGCCTCCACTCGGAATCCTCGAGTGACAGTGACCTTCCCAGGGCCATGGGTCTGGAGCCGTGGGTCTGTTTGTCCTCCCAAGGGATGCACATTCTGCACACCCTCCTGCCTGTCGGAAGGGCACTCCTCACTGTCACGCCTGAGTTTCTTTGGTCCCTGTCCTTCCTGCATCCGGGGCCTCAGTGAGCTGACTCTGCCATCACCCTGGACAAGTCCCCATTACCCATTTCACAGGCGAGGACCCTCAGGTGCAGAGCAGGCAGGCAACTTGCCAAGTGTCACACAGCCCCGAGACACGAGACTGGAATCAGACGCCACACTGTGATCCGCTGTATTATCCTGCCTCTGATGCAGAGCTGGGAGCAGGCCTCCACAGGCAGCTGACTCACCAGAATCCTCCTGGGAATCTGGGCCCTGTTGTTAATGGGCTCCGGACTCTGAGGCTCCCAGACGCCCTCTCAGACAGTGCCTAAATGTCCCTCTGATTTACAGCCTCCCATCCATGCATACAAGTGAGTTACAGGTCGACTGAGCCAGGTAGCCCTGAGCCAGGAACCGCAGGCCCAAACCACCCCTGTCTGTCCGTCCTCTGGCATCTCGGGGCCCATGGTGGGGACTTGGAGCTCAGTTGAGAAGCTGCCTTGGCTCAATTCACACAGCAAACTGGGATTAAACTAGGTTTTACAGGAAACCCGAGACCCTAATCCTGCCTGGCCTGGCAGCCTCACATTTCTCCCATGGCCCAGAGTAACAGTGGTGGTTTTTATTTTCTTTTGATTTTAACAACAACAACAGAATGTGAGACCACAGATTGAAAAGTGTGATAGCAGGAGGGCAGGAGCTGCCCCAGCCAGGGCTGGGGTTTCGGGAAATGCTCCGCCCATCAGCCATGAAAGCAAACGCGGTCCTGGCCAGCCCTTCCCACCAGTCAGGACAAAGTCCAGAGAAGCAGCAGCCACCAGGTATACAGGTGCAGGGCCTGGGCAGGGCGGGCTGTCCACTTCCACTTTCTGCCCAGTCACAGGCTGAGTTCGTGCCACGGATCTGTGCCAGACTTCCTGGCCCAGCGCTGGGGACAAAGGCCCCGAGTATGCAGCAGGCAGAAGTCCATTCCCAGCCTCTCACCTGGGGGGAGTAGTGGCGTCTCTGGCTCTGAGCCCCCGGGCTGGGCACACACCTGGGGGCTGCAAGAAGCCCCCAGAGAGCTTCTGTCTGTGACTCAGGAAATCAACAACCTCTGCTTACTGCCTTGACCTCACTGTTTACCGAGTGCCGGGCGCTTAACACACACTAACTCCCTTGGGCCTCATGTACCACCTCATGGTCAAGTTCATTTTACCGCTGGGTTTAGTTTTATTTGTCATTTTTGAGACAGGGTCTCACCACGTAATTCAGGCTGGCCTTGAACTCACTATGTAGCCCAGGCTAGCCTTGACGGTGATTCTCCTGCCTCAGTCTGGGATTACGAGTGTGCACCACCATGTCCAGCTTCATCTTACAGCTGGAAGAGCTGAAGAACAGGGGTGGACCGACCAGGGCCACAGTGGGAGGACAGAGCCAGGCCACTGTGTGCCTGTCTGACAGCAAGTGACCGGCACACCCATGGGGCAGGGCGAGTCAGCCACCCCATTTACAGACCAGGAAGTCCTTCTGCAAAGTTTTCCAAGGCTCTGCGGCTGGTACACAGCAGAACCAGGGGTGGGATCCATGGGCTTCGTGGGAGCCTGTACCCAGTGCCCATTCTGCGTCTCCACGCAGGAGCCCCAGGAGCGAGGACAGTGGAGGGGCTGGTAGAACAGAGCTGTGTACCCCAATTTTCCAGCCTTCCACAGTGTGCTCGGCCCAGCTCGCCCTGTGACCTTTGGTCTTCCGCTGTCTCTGGGCCCCTTTGAAAGGGCAATGACCCCAAAGGTCTCAGGCACGGCGATACTGTGCCAGTAAACGACCCGGACAGCAAGCCTGCAGGGAGCCAAGGGTAGGTCAGAGGTGCAGGGAGCTTCAAGTGACACATTTTCCAACCAGCTGCTTCCATGGGCAACCAGGTCTGCCTGCACTCCAGCGGGGGCAGAGGGCCGGGCCGCGCTACGAGAGCGAGAGCGGAGATCAAACTCACAGGTGTCCAGGCTGTATCCCCAGGAGTGCATCAGGGCCCCTGGCCGTGACAGTGAGACGAGCACTTCTCAGATCCCTCAGCAGTGTTGGGACAGACCCCTGCCCAAGGGCATGTGGGAGCCAGAAGTGAGAGCCCCCAGCCGCTAGGCTTTGCAGGGCTGCGGCCCAGGATAGAAGGAGCCTGCTGGGGTGCGTATTCTAGGAAGAGCTCCCTCCATTCCTTTTGTGAGCTGAAGGAAACTCAGAGCCAGTCTTGGGGGAAGCTGCCCACGCTGCCCCCGAAGCAATGCCATTGCTGGGAAGCGGCCTTGGCCCTGAGATCAGAGTTTACCCTCCCTCCTTCCCTCGCAGGCTTCCCAGCCTGCCCAGATCCTCTCTTTTTTTTTTAAAATTTTATTTATTTATTTTGTGTGTGTGTGTGTGTGTGTGTGTGTGGTCAGCTCAGCCCACCAGGGGGCAGGGCTGGCTGGCATGTGGTGCTGGGGGATTGAACCGCGGTCCCTGTGCTTTGCTTGGCTTAGCTTGTTCTAAGTAGGTGCTTTAGACCACTGAGCCATCTCACCAGCCCCCAGATCCTCTCTTTCCTCAGACAGGCCCTGCACACCGAGCACTCACTGTGGAGAAAGCACTTTCCAGGCAGGGTGACAGAGCCAGGTGTGTCCCCTCCTCCCAAGAAGGCTGCATCTCTGTGGGGGTACAGGTAGAGGGGCTGTGTGACATCCCGAGACCCTGGTGCCTGGGCCTGGCACTGGTGTGGTCTGGCTCCTCTGAGCAGCCGGTGGTGACAGCTGAGTGCAGATCAGGTTCTGGCAGAGAAATAGCAAGTGCGAAGGCCCTGAGGCAGGCAGAGGCCGCGGGCCCTGGGACAGTAGGGAGGGACTGAGTGATCATGTGTGGGGACAGGGTGATGAGAAGGAGGAGGACGGGGCAAGCCACTGGAGGCTAAAAGGAGTCTGGGCTTTTGTGTGTATGTTGAGATGGGGTCTCACGATGTAGCCCAGGCTGGTCTCAACTCGCAGTGATCCACCTTCCTCCGCCTCCTAAGTGCTGGGGTTACAGGCATGCACTGCCACGCTCAGTTTTTGAGACTGGGTTTAATAGCCTGGAAGTCGCTGAAGGCATCGCCATTCCTGAGGTGTGAGCTGGAGAGAAACAAGATGCAGGCTGTGTTCCCAGCATTCTCCCTCCCGTGAGGATAAGGGGCTGGGAGGGCAGGGCTGGAATCTGCGACCTGTGGACTTGCTCTGGTCTTGGTGGCCGTGGAGAGGAGGCAACCCAGGGCTCACTGGGGCTGTGGGGCTGGAAGGAGGAGACCTACAGGCTCTTACATGTTGGACTGAGTACCCACTGGGGAAAGTGGCCATTCACCATCCTTCCTGGACCCTACAGCACCTAGAGCTAGGAGAGCCACCCTGCAGGGACCTGCGAAAGCCCTGCCTTAGCGTCTCCTAAGGGCCCTGCGGTGTTGGGAGCTATAAGTAGAAAATTGAGGCGGACTGTCTGTATGTTCAGTACTGAGCATCTCACGGACTGGAAGTCTAATGCAGGGTGAACTGGGGAGACTTTCTCTTATACCCCTGTAACAGTGCAGCCTTGTGTCCCGGCAGTGCCTGTGTCTCCTGGACTCGCCTTCTGAGGAGCTGCTCCGGAAACCTCTGTGCTACCCTTCCCAGGACAGGTGAGGAGGCAGGCGGGGAGGGACCAAGCCCATGCCTTCTGACTCTGGGCCTACAGTCACCATGGTCCCTGAACTCTGTAGTCACCAGTTTTGAGGAACCTCTGGGTCCCCAGCCAGGTGAGAAAACTCCTTCAGCCCAGGCGAGGGACTGACTCATGGAGGAGGGCAAAACAGAGAGGTGGCCCTGGAGACCCCAGCCTTTCTCAACCCCACCTCTTGCTTCCAAGGATGTGGGGAGGCTGGGAAATGGGTCCTGTGTCCAGGGCACACCATTGGGTGAGGACAGAAGAGGGCTAGCATCGTCTCAGCTGACTCAGGGACAGTGGGCCTCTGACTCCCTTAAGGTTTGCCGAGGACTTAAAGTAGTGGTGTCCTTGTGGCAGTGCCCTTCTTCCACCCCATCCATCCATCTACCAAACATGTAGCCATCCATCCACCTACTCATGTATCCATCTACCCATCCTTCTATCTGTTCATCCATCCACCCATCTACCCACCCATGTGTACATCTACCCATCCTTCCACCCACCCACCCTCCCACCCAGTCATCCATCTACCCATCTTTCCATCCACCTACCCACTAACCCACACACCCATCCATCTACCCATCCTTCCACCCACCCACCCATCTATCCATCTACCTATCTTTCCACCCACCCACCCATCCTTCCACCTACCTACCCACTAAGGCACTCACCCATCCATCTACCCATCCTTCCATTCTGCCATTGATCCATCCATCCATCCTCCTGTACATCCATCCATCCTGTAACTTACCATCCATCCATCCATGACTTATTTACTTAGTGGCATTTCTGAGCACTACTGGGTCCACATGAGGAACACACAGTCTTCCCCACCAGCATCACAGGGCACAGACTGTGGACAAGCAGAAATTACTGCTCAGCAGGATGAGCTACAGTAACTGTCGTTTGCTGATAGCTAACTGTGTGCCAGACATTTTACCTACATTATCTAATTTTATGTCTGGAAAAATCTGAGAAACACTTGCCTTCTTCCTCCTTTCACAGATGAGTAGAGTGGGGCTCAGAGAGACTCAGTCACACGTCCAAGAACACACAGCTAGGGGTGATAGACCTACATTCAAAGTCAGGCAGTGTCACATGGGAGCCTATTCTGGAGCCACTTCCATAGCCAGTGTTACCAGCAGGGAGCCCCCTACCCAACCTGTGTCCTGGGGATCAGGCATGCTGAGGAGGGGTCTCCTGCAGGAGGTGATGTCCGGGGGAATCAACACAGCAGGAATTAGTAAAATACCAGCAGAATAGTTTCACTCTATGGGCAGATTTGGCATAAAATGATATATTCGGGCAATTTAAATTATAGCTGCCTGGAAATGGCCACCATGTCTGCTGACCCTTGAGCGGCGTTCACACTGCGTTCACTGTGGGAGATGGTACGGGCAGGGAAGCCCCCACCCGTGCCGTGTACTGCAGGTGCACACTGGAGAGGGCACCGGGGGACATTCTGGGGAGGAGACACTCGTCCCTCACTTCTGCAAGGACTGAGCCAGCTGGCACTGACGACAGACGCGGACCCAGCGAGGCTCACGGAGCCCTGGGGGTGCCAGGCGCTGCCCTCGCTGTCTCCATGGCAGCAGGTGCTAGAAGGACCCGCCCCACGGGAAGGCGACAGCTCGGCAGGCTCTTCCCCGGGGGCCACGCACTGGCGCAGCTGGATCCGGGCTCTGTCCTGGACCCTCGTCTTTGCTCCACTGCTGCCCTCGCACAGAGCACCCTGCTCCTCCTGCAAACCCTTCCGCAGACCCTCTTTTGTCACCAATATCAGGACCAGGAGATAAATGTCATGGGTGGGGACTGGGGTGGTGGTGGCAATGGACACTGACATTTGAATTACATGGTATTGTGTGGCATTTCCATTTCCAAAATCTCTATGTCTTTTTAATATTCAGAAATGTCAGCTCTGTTCTTAGCTCAAAGTGAACAGGAGGCGCGGCAGGGGTGGGTCCGTTGGCTTAGTCCTAACTTTTTCTCGGCAAGCACAGGCTGCGTTGTTTCCACCGGAGCTGGGGAAGACAGGGCTGAGGCACAGCCCGGGCTCTCAGGAGCCAGCGCCAGGGCCTCCATGGGCCTGGCATGCCCACACCGCAGGACAGAGACCTTGCCCGGGAAACACACACACACACACACACACACACACACACACACACACACCAGCTGCCACCCCCACGAGAGCTGTCCTGATTGGCTGAGCCGCCTGCCACTCAAGAGCCGTCTTGTTTCAGGGTGCGAAACACTGCCTCCAGTGTGGTGCCCAGAGACGTGGCTCTGTCCGTGCTGCTCACCTCCTGGTGGCCCTGGGCAAGTCATTCCCCTTTGGTGCCTCAGTTTTCCCATAAAGTGCTGAGGGCTTACTCCACTGTGGGATATAATAGATAAGTGAGAAGGAGAACGGCAGAGGTTGCTCTGGGTTGGGAATACCAGGGGAATGCCGGCCCCTGACCTGCCCCGGACACTGGCGCTGCCCAGGCTGGGGCCCAGTCGGGGGGTTCCCAGCTGCCTCCTTACCACCAAACAAGGGCCCCTTTGAGAGCCCCGCTGGATGACGAATGCTGGCTAGTCCCACCAGTCCCTTTCTGAGCCCCTGGCTGGCAAGAAAGGAGCAAGGTCTTGTGTGGGTACAGCCAGAAATGCAGGGACCCTGGGACATGCACATGCACAGCAAGGGGTGTGGCCCCTTGCCCTCTGTCCCCCTAGCCTGTGGCTGCTCCTCCCCTGCCCCAGCCACCACTGTCCCCTCAGCCATCCCAGTCCAGCTGTCACGCCACAGAGCTGTTTGGCCTTGGGAGGAGAAGAAGGCAAACTGCCTCGCTTGGGTTCAAGTGTTGTCAGTGATCCTTGTGCCTCAGCCTCCACAGTGCTGGGATTACAGGCCTGTGCCGTCTCAGATCTGTAGAGTTTTTTGTTGATTTTTTGAGACAGAGTCTTGCTATTCAGTGCAGGCTGGCCTTGAACTCAATATGTAGCCCAGTCTGGCCTCAAACTCAAGGCGGACCTCCTGCCTCAGCTTTCCAAGTTCTGGGATTACAGGTGTGCACCACCAAACCCAGCAATATATCTGTGGTTTTCCTTTTTTTTTTTTTTTTTTTTTTTTTTTTTGCGGAACCAGGGATTGAACTCAGGCCCTTGCGCTTGCCAGGGAAGCACTTATTCTACTAAGCCATCTCCCTAACCCCTATATCTGGGATTTTAACTTGAGGTCATTGGGGTTCCTGAAATTGGTTGTAAAATGCTACAGACACACACATGAATTTTCTACGGGAGTCTGTGACCCCAGAAATGCTAATAAGTGATGACCAAGAGGAGGGACCCTTGGGAGCTTGTAGGTTTATGTAGTAGGCAGTTACCAGCAGACAGATACTGCCGCAGAGGGCAGAAGACTGGCTGCACAGGATGAGCTGATGTGTAATGCCACAGGGCACGCGTGCACGCACACACACGCACAGGAAGTGTAGCTGCTTAAAGCCATGGAGGGTTTATCTCTAGGAGAGATAACAAACTTTGTTCAATTTGTGGTTTTCTATGTTTGTCAGATACACACGTATTTCCTTTGGTGGGGACAGTGCTCATTCTGAGAAGCCAAGATGAAGCCAGCCTCATCCTAGGGTCTCCCTCAGGCCATCACCGACTTCCTGGCCTTGTAGTGTAAACCGAGTGCCAAAGCTGGGGTGCAGGGGTGAGGTCTCTGCAAAGTCCTACTCCCCGGGTGGCAGCCCTGCCCCCTCCTCCCTAGATTCAGGCCTGAGATTTCTCCAAGCCCTGCACTTCCTGGCCTTGTGGTGGCCCAGAAACCAGCGACGACAGTGTGACTTGCTTCTCCACCAGGGAACTGAGATGCTTTGGAGCGTGTGGTCCCAGTGTGGGCTCCCCACCCCTGAACACCCCTTTCTCTTCTCTCCCCAGGGAGCTCCAGGCCCAGCAGCATGGGGGAGGCTTGCATCAAGGTCACCAAGTACTTCCTGTTCCTCTTCAACCTGCTTTTCTTCGTAAGTGTGGCCTATAGTCAGATAATCCTGGGGAGGCATGGGTGGTGGGTGTCCTCCCAAGGGCCAAGGTTAGACCCTGTGGAAAGGTGCTGGGGGGTCAGGACAGGATTCCCAGGTGGTGTCCCCGAGTGGCTGCCTCTCCTAGATCCTGTGCAGGGGGCTGGAGTGGCGCCCCCCACCACCCTGCAGATATTGCAATCTCTCCCCCCCACCACCACCCAGGAGCTCCCAGAGCTGAGCCTAGGGTGGGTCACAGCAGGCACAGGACCCCCTTCTCCAACGCTCCCCAGGCCTAACAGGGCCCCAGCCACAGTCTGCCCTAATGTGGATGTCATGGCACCTCTGGGGCTGCCTTTCCTCGAACGCACACACAGTGAAGTGCCAGCAGCCCATTGTACCCTCATGGCCCCAGAGCATGTTGGGTATGGCTCCTCTGTCTCATTGGTTCACCCTAAACTGTTAAACATCAGGTTCTACAATATGATGTCTGTGACGGTCCAGTGTTTTTAATGCATCAATTCACAAAAATATGACTATTGGGGCCGGGGAGATGGCTCAGTGGGATAAGCGCTTCCCTGGCAAGTGCAAGGGCCTGAGTTCAATCCCCAGTTCTGCAAAAAAAAAAAAAGTTTAAAAAAATGACTATTTTTAAGAAGAGGGGAAAGTATCTCAATGTTCATTAGGGAGTCCCTGAAAGTGAAATTTTATTCCTGTTTGTTTTTCTGAGGCAGGGTCTCACTAGATCCTCCTAGGCTGGCCTTGAGCTAACTGTGTAGCCCAGGCTAGCCTCAAACTCCTGGTGCTGTGTGTCCTGCTGTCTGTCAATCTCCAGCTCATCCTAACTACCAGACCTGGACCCACCTGGTGCCTGGGTCCACTCTGGGCTCCCCCAGCGTGGTGGTCAGGTTCTGGCCCAGCCCGTGGGAAGCAGTTGTTCAGTGGGGAGGCCAAGCCTGCCCTGGTCCCAGGCCAGGGAGGGTAGGCAGCAGCACAGGACAGCCCTGGGCCTCGGGGTGGATGGAGAGGGGTCAGGGCTGTGCCAGGACTCAGAGCTTAGGGTTGGGGGCACAGGTGCGTTCTCCTCTTGCATTCAGGGTTAGCCAGCTGCTTGTGGTCTGATGGGGTCCCTTCCTGTCCTGCGCCCACAGAGCCACACACCTAAGTACGCGGGTACTCGCAGGCTGAGCCCTGCCTGGGGGCTGGGGGCCACGAAGGCTCTGGGTGAGGACAGGCTTGGTGCCTGCAGCCTCCCAGCCCTTCCCAGCGTGACCAGATGAGATCTGTGGCTTAGCAATCTGCCCTGGGCACACTGCGCCCCACACCATGACCAGCATCCTCCTGAGCCGGCACCTCAGATACGGCTTCTTGGCCACTTTTCTCAGGAACAGAGCTGAGGTTGGTGGATGTGGGCCCCCTTTCCGGTCCTGGTTCTTGGAGCAGGGGCTGCAGGTGTTGCCAGTTCTGGTAGGCCACAAGCTGGGCCTCCTTTCAGGCTGCCCCAAGGCTGAATGGCTGGGCCAGCTGCACCTGCTGACGGTCACGCGTCAGTCACCAGCCTCCCAGGGTGGTGGGGAGGTCCCCCTCAGGGCTCTTGTGCTCTAGCTGGGGTCTTAGGGCTGTGGGGTCCTAAGGTTTGCCCAGGAGTTTCTTGACTCGTCCCTCACCCCTTGGAGGGGTTGTCCCCTGCCTTCCCAGAGGAGTATAGCTGGACAGCCCCCTTAGGCCCCTCCAACTGTGTAACTCAGGGAGAACTACCCTCTGGAGGACTTTGTCCCCCTCTGGAGACTCAGTTGCCTTCCTGTCCCCAGACCCTGGCTCTCTGTGAAAGACCCAGGAGAGATGCCAGGCATCCCTACTGCCCAGCTGTCAGGCCCTGGAAGAGGAGGTCAGGGTCTGTTTCCCTGTGTGCAAAATGACAGCAGCAGGCGCACCTGACCAGAAGGAAGCAGAAGATGAGGACTCCTCAGCGACAGGCCCTCTAGAGGACAGTAGGGTCAGTTGCAGTATCCTCCTTTGGCAGTCCTTGGAGGATGAGGCAAGGGAAGTGGCCCCGTACCAGCCATCTGGGGGCCAGAGGCACAAGGAAAGCCCCAGACCAGCCTGGTGGTACACACCTGTGATCCCAGCACTCTGGGAGGCTGATGCAGGAGGATCACAAGTTCTAGCTCAGCCTAGACCACTTAGAGACTTGGCCAAACCCTGTTTCCAAATAAAACCTCAAAAGGGCTAAGGGTGTAGCTCAGTGCAAAAGCCCTGCCTTGAGTTCTGAGTGAAAAAAAAAAAAAAAAAAAAAGATTACCAATCATATGGAAATTTTAATCGTGTTTTATCATTCATCATAGTTTTTTGCCTTTATTTTACTTACTTAGTTAGTTGGTCTTTTTGAGACAGGGGCTCCCTATGTCATTCATCCCAGCCTTGAAATCACTATGTAGCCCAGACTGGCCTCAGACTTAAGGTGATCCTCCTGCCTCAGTCTCTCAGGGGACAGGACTGTAGACACCTGCCACTATGCCCAGTACTGATTTTATTTTATTTTTTAAAATATTGCTGCTACGTACGGCTCATTTTGATTACTGAGCTTGCTCTTTGCCCACAGGAGGCCCTGGCCCCTGCCTTTTCTTTCTTTTTTTTTTTTTTTTAATATTTATTTATTTATTTATTTAGTGTGTGTATGGCCAGCTCAGCCCACCAGGGGGCGGGGCTGGCTGGCATGTGGTGCTGGGGATTGAACCGCGGTCCCTGTGCCGCGGTCCCTGTGCTTTTGCTTAGCTTAGCTTGTTCTAAGTAGGTGCTTTAGACCACTGAGCCATCTCACCAGCCCGCCCCTGCCTTTTCTAGCAACAGAAGGAGGCAGGGGGACCAGGGAGATAGCTCAGAGGTCTAAGTGCCTTCCTGGCAGCACAAGGACCCGGGTTTGACCCCTGGCACACCATGCTGTGCCAGCCCCACACCCAGCCGGCCACCGAAATGGAACACAGTGATTCACACCTGTAATCCCAGAACTGGGGAGGCCGAGACAGAAGGATCATTATAAGTCTGATCTGTGTAGTGAGACCCTGTAACAAATAAATAAATAAAAGATGAAAGAAGGAAAGAAGGAGGGGAGAGAGGGAGGGAAGGAGGGCAGGAGGGAGGGAGGGAGGGAGGGAGGAAGGAAGGAAGGAAGGAAGGAAGGAAGGAAGGAAGGAAGGAAGGAAGGAAAAGAAAGAAAGAAAAGAAAGAAAGAAAGAAGAAAGAAAGAAAGAAAGAAAGAAAGAAAGAAAGAAAGAAAGAAAGAAAGAAAGAAAGAAAGAAAGAAAAAACAAACAGGCAAGCAAGCAAGCAGTGGGGGTGTTGAGGAGCTGTGGCCTTGGACTTGACCTGTAGTTAGGGGTTCACAGCAGAAGGGAAAACCAGGCTGGTGACAAAGGTGGGGCCCTGCAGGTGGTCACACCCAGCCTTAAGGGGCCGCCTTCCTTAGGTCTGTGGCACCTCCCTGGCCTGAACCATCAGATGTCAGGGCCTGGCCAGGACCCTACCAGGGAGATAAACTCTGGGGGCCTGGCTGGGGGAGGGGAAAAGAGGCCAGAAATTCCCATCTGCTTTGTCAACCTCCTACACCTTATGTTCCTCCCTCCCTCCCTCCCTCCCTCCCTCCCTCCCTC